CACGGTGCCGTTCTCGAAGTTGTTCAAAATTATGTGTACCTCGGATAGACATTGCAGTTAAGTAGAAACAACTTTGAGTGAACAGAAGAATCTGGTTAGGTATTCCAGCGTTTGGGAAGCTACGTCGAGTCTTCTTATCGTCGTCCCATAGTGCTTTAAGACGAGTCTTCAATGAATGCGTCCTACCCGTCATGACATACGAAGCCGAAACGAAGACAGTTACGGTACGGCTGGTCCACAAGTACAAAGTAGCTCAACATGCTATGGAAAGGGCTATGCTCGGCGTTTCTCTAAGGGATCGCATCAGGAATGAGGTCATCCGCCAGAGAACCAAGGTCACCGACATAGCCTACCGGATTAACAAGCTGAAGTGGCAGTGGGCTGGGCCATTTTAGCCATAGAATCGACAACCGTTGGGGAAAACGAGCTCTTGAGTGAAGACCGCGTCTCGGCAAACGTAGTGTAGGACGCCCACTGGCCAGGTGGAGTGACGATTTGCATCGATGTAAGTGGCTAGCAATGGGAGAAGCCTATGTCCAGCAGTGGCCTGCGATAGGCTGATGATGATGATTGAAGGAGCATTTAAATATCTAATAAATACAATTTATATCACTGGGCTTAGCATTCTGAACCTATGTTAACAGAGCAATCTCTCGATTATAGACTCATGTTATGTGTATAAAGATAAAATATAACTTAAAGTAAGAAAAATGTTACAACACAATATTACATCAGTTTTTCCTTTTACAAACGAAACTTTATACATGCCTAAATGTCGCAGGGAAAGTAATGTGTTATTAAAAAATCATTTGTTTCGTGATGAACAATCCGTAGACGATACGTATCTATAATGCATAAATTTTACCTTAAGCTTTAACATACACTCTAGTTATTTTATATTGATGACGTAAACAAGGGGTTAAAATAGTAATGCGTGAGTCATCATCAGATCTACTAAAGTTTGGACATTGCAGAGCTAAGCATAAGAAAATAGCGATGAACTCCGTACCATTCAACCAAATACTAAGTATTTTTTATGATTGACACAAACCGAAGGTTTACTTATTAGTGATTACGTACATTATTTATTGAATAAACTGTACCGAGTATATATACAAGTAAAAAACATATATATGTATATGTTTTGGTCTGTGGTTCTGAACACAACTACTACGACACTTCGGCACAAACTAGTTTTTGCCGTGCCTCCCTACTATCTACGGAATTAAGGTGGTCTGTCTATTCTGAGAGTGCGTATAAATGAAACGCAAATTTTAATTCGAATTTACACCTTAATAAAACATTAAACAGATTTTATTATTCGTTATTCCGTATTTTTGGTCGCTTATTAATTTATGTTGACTATTATAAACGAGTTTAAATTCTAAACTAGCTTTCTTCTCAACTTTGTTAATTTATTTCTTTATTATGAAAGAAATAACATTTAACTTTGTTTTAATTGTTATAATATTGTAATTTTAAATAAAAAAACATAGTAAACATACATACCTTTAAACATAGTATACTCGCTTAGTTCAATGCACATACATCGTATTGAATTTATTGTTCATTCCTTAAATTTCACCCTTAGGGGTGAAATATTTACTTCAAATTTGAACGGGACCAAATTCAAATGGAGGTATACTCTTTCGTGTAAAAAAAGAATTTGCAGAATTCGACGAATTTCAATTTGAGAACCTTTTCATTTTTTGTTCGGTTAAAAATACAGTGCTCACAGTGGAGATTTTGATGAATTAAATGTTTGAATCTAATAGGAAATGAGTTTACGGACTGAAGGCATTATTGGCGCCTTAAATATTAAAAAGTGAGCCTAGTTCCTATTTTTACGGTAGATAAGTGTTTACAAGATCGTTGTCAAACGATGACTGGAGAATCTTTGATAGTCTGCCAACGATATTCACATTGAAATACGTAATTAAAATATTTACATAGGTATACTTTGTGACGCTATTTACTGTTTCAGTAAATATTAAGCGTTTAATCTTAAACATAAAAGTCTATTGATTTACGTAATAAATTATCGGTTAGTATGAAACTTTTAGACAAATAAAATGTAAATACTTCACTTATTTTTTCAGTTTTCTATTGAAGCCTTCATAAATTACTTTGCACGTTACGAACTTGGGATGGTTAATAAGTATGTTTACGGGAATTAACGCACTCACGATAGGAATGCAGAACATACCTTTGAATTACCTAACGTTTCGTCACACTATTGAGATGTCATTGACATCAGTCAAAATATCGGTATTCCACTAACACAAATTCAGTGTCAATAGATCGTCGATGTAGTGACAATGGCTCATCAATGATGATATCAACAACATTGTCATATCTGGAAAATGAAATGTATAATTGCCTTACAAATTTAAAATGTACCGTTTACCAAACTATTACAAAGACATCGACAACAGTTCAGTGACAAATCATCGGGAGACCATTGGTCTCAGATAGTTACTAGAATACGAAAAGTGCAAGACTATTCCAACGACATTCCATTGATAGTCTATTGAGATACTTAAAAATCTTTATTACAAAGTGTTATTGTTATTTTTGAAGGTTTTTTTATTGTCAAAATTAATTATTAGATTAAAATTAAAAATCCTACATTTGAAAGTTCAACGCCTGTCGGTTTCATAGTATGTTTCATGATATGTATAGTAATTATCGTACTCAATAAAAGTGAGCTTTCATTATAATGGATTCAGAAGACTAGTCAAAATAATAAACAAACCTATTTTCAGTTCTAAGTTTTGTGAACTTAACTCGAGTAAAGTGTTTTTTATTATTTCGTTTATCTCTGTAGAATCTCGCGTGCCGAAAGTATTTGGTGAGGCACTGGCTGACCTATTGTACTTAAACATGTAGCGTAAGGTAAACGGAACGAAATTAGTGAAAACAATAAAGTAAATTTAATCTATTTGAGTATTATAGTCCCCTTAAACACTCGAATAAACTAACAAATAAAGAAAATAAAATCAATAAATAATTTGACACTTATCCTACACGGTAGTCTGATGCCAAACTAGCCAGAGCCTGTGCTATGTTTACCAGATTACTGATAAACATATTTATAAATTTCTAAATTCGTGCATATTATAAATAAACTAGCCATCCGCCCCGGCTTCGTACGGGTTTAATGTAGATACTACTAATGTGGTGTCAGTGTAGAGTAAATAATTATACTGTTATTATGATAGGACTATACCACCAGACATCTTTATATGCAATATTTATAGGCCCGCTCCGATCCAGCCGGCCGCTTTACCCCCGCATTTTAAACCTCTAATATCTTTCAAAATATTCGCTTTAATAGAGCTGTACAGAGCTATTCTAATCTACATAAAATGCACAACGTATCTAAAGTATTTAATTGGATAAGGAATAATAATGTGTTGTTTAAAATAACTTCGTAAATAACCCTTTTTTTTGTAATACTAAAAAGATAAAAATGGTTACTGTAAGTTATCTTTAGGAGATAGATGTATACCATCGTGGACTTTTTTGTAGGTCGTTTTAAGATAACAATGCCCTAGTACATTATTTCGCCTATCTCGCAAGGATTAGCCAGCTTTTGCCATGTAAGCAAACCATGTTTTAAGACAAATCTTTGAAATTCGCGGATTTTGTCTACTATAATGTGCAGGTATTATACATATCCCTCCTCATAACCTTCCTCTTGAATCAATCTCTCTATTGATGAAACTGCATTAAAATTCGTTGCTTGGTTTAAAAGATCTAAACGCATGACAAACGAAAGAAAACGACTTTATTATGTACTATGTAAAGAAAGTTACACTTACACACAATGATCGTGCTCATCACACAATTTTTGTCCTAGGTAGGAATCGAATTACGACCTCAGACTTAGCAATCAGTCACTAACCACTCGACCAAAAGGCCCGTCAGAATGAAAATTTGTTTTTTTAATAATCATTCTTTATTACCATTAGTCAAGTGCTTGGGCACCTATGAGTCAGAAACAGCATGTGCGGAACATCCAAAGTGAGATTATAAACATTTATTCGAAAACGCACTCGATCAATAGGTATTGTATTGTATTTGGTATTGTATTGCCTGACGATTCGACCTGGTTGCCTTGTGCGAAGTCAAAGCGAAGGTATATTTCTATTTGTTTTCAAATAGTAATTTCAATTCTCTACTACCATGAAATCTGTCCACTTATTAATTTAAGAGAAAACATATTTATTGATCTTAATTATTTCATTTCTTTACAATTTACACATTCTCTGCCTTTAAACATTTCTTACACCAATAGCTAGAAAATCCTAATAAAATTCATGACATACGAGGATTAATTATGACTATTTAATAGTATTGTAGTAATAGAAGTTACTACTAGGTAGGTATATTTTTGTTCTGTCATATGTCTGTCAAAAAGTACAATTCAGAAACTATGTGTCTATTATTACGATTCGACTACATCAAATTCATCGGTAAAAACTAATTTATTGAAAAAATAAACTAATGTAAACGTGTTTGGTAAAATGTCTTATATACTAATGTACTTAACTTATATTGTAGGCACAAAAATATTGAGGTTAATTATATTAATTTCAAGAGGAAAGTCATGACCTAAGTAGGTTAATGTAATACATTACCTACTGACAGAGACATGCAAATAGTAGGAGGCAACACAAAAGGCCTGTCAAGTTTTCCTTTGTTTATAATCTAATAGGAAAATGGATCACGAGCTTTTGTTGGACATATTATCCATTCTGTGAACAGACGAAGTAATAAGAAATATGTTTGTTAAATAAAGTAGAAAAGAAAGAAAAAATTAAAGTTGAAAATGTAAAACTTAAAACATATATTTTCTATTTTATTGTGTTGACAGTTTTTTATGAGTTATGTTAACACTGAGTAAAAACGGCAACACTGTGGCGACGGCGTACTCGTTAGAAATGTTGGATGCGCGCGCCGGACGGACGGCGCTAGTGTGTGCAGATACACGAGTCTCAGCCCTGCGACGGGTCAGAGCGCGCGTGCGGGTCGCGTGTCGCAATTGGCGAGTGGCGTGTGGTGAGTCTCGTGGGTCCGGAGCGCGGGCCGAACCGGCGGAGTGGCCGCCCGGAACGGCGCGCGACATGGGGCGGCGGTAGCGGCGCGGATGTGCGCGCGCTCCGAGGCGGTGGAGCTGGAGGTGCTGGGCGCGGACGGCGGCGAGGTTCGTGTGCCGCCGCGCCCCCTGCGCCTGTCCCTCCTCGAACTTCTGGGCAAGCTGGTGCGCCGCGACCAGCCCGCCCCGTCGCACCGTCGCGCCAGGCACAATCACCGCTTCCGTACTTTCGTCTCCTGCGGTCGGTACCAATCGATTCCTCTCCGTCACGAATGTTAAGATTGAACCGATAGCATTCTCTTATTAAATTCCATTTAATTCCTTTGACGCAGCAAAGACGTGCGTCATCGTTTGTAGTACATATCCGAAAGTGTGGAATGCAAAGCCGATGACATTTGCGTAACGTCATGCTATTCTATATGAGATGGACTATATATGTATTTTCCTTTTGAGCGCCTATTACAAACGTACCCGTAGTCTCCTAGATGTCTTTAAATCAGGAATAGAGATGACATGAATCGTGGACAAGGACGATATTGGCGCGCCGGTCAACGGCCGGTTCGTAGTTAGCAAACGGTCGTTTTGAAGCGGGCGTTTCAGCACTTCGTTTATGACCCCGCGCTGGTTTTATCGATTACCCGCCAATGTTTCACTTCACTAAATTTGATTAGGATGCAATTGTTCATATAATACTCGTAGAACAACTAGCGGTAGTTGGTTACAATGTGTCGATGTACATTAATTAATCACACTACCTGTTTGCACTAGTTTTTGTTGATGTATTACAACACATGTACTTAGCTGTAAGTAGAGATAGAATTAATTTGAGAAAAACAAGTATTACCGTAGTAATTTTATTATCTGGATCACATATTTTTTTAATTATATAAATAAAATTATGTGATACAAACAGAACTTCACTTAAGGTACCCATTCCTTTACAATTTGCACTTTGAAATACCTTCTGTAACATGTTTGACCAAATTATTGATGTTCTTGTTTTTTCTAAATTATTTCATCTAATATACGGATATAGTGTACAACTTGAATTAAGTTTCACAAATTCAGTTTTAACGGTACTTTTTTTTATAAGTTCAATATTAACACTACTGTAAGATGTTATCACTGGTCTTGTACTTTTTGATGCTACAACAATAGTTTTGTCCTTCAGTTTACTAAGAGCTGTATTCTCTTTAGGTCCAAACGCTTTAGTAACCAGGGTTACATATTGGCGTTCTTTTTGATCAGAACTGTGAATGTCAATTCTTAGTATTATTTTATTTCAGATAAATGTTATCCGTGGTTTCGCGTACTATTGGTACTTCGATGACATTTATTCAACTTCTTATGTTGACTGCGACGTAAGTAATAATTATTGATAGCGTGTAACGATTACTCATATCTCTCATATAACTTCTACCTATATTGTAACTTACGGAAAAATTGTTTTACAGCAATTTACAACACACAAAAGCTACTCTTCAGTAATTTTTATCATGGTAATCATGGCAATCATTTTATCATGGTTAAACAATCATTTTCAAATACTTTTCCACTTTTGTTATTTGTCATTATATTCACCTAAATCAGACTAAACTATATGATCTAAAATATCATCATCATCATCAACAGCCTCTACTAGTCCACTGCTGGACATAGGCCTCTCCTTAGGAAGGAGGTTTTGGCCAGCCGGGTTGGTATAGGGTTTGTTCAAGTTTTCCTTCTCTTTGCAGTGCTTTCGTCCTGCGCTGTTTATTCCCTCAGTCGGCTCTTACGACACCCACGTGATGAATAGGGGAGGTGACACTCAGTATTCTTAATCCGTCACCGCACCACACCACATCTAAAATATAACATGTTATATAACATGTTCATTACATTCTCAACCGGCTTTCCTTTTCAATTTTTTTTTAGTTTCATTGCTGAGCCTTATCTTTACATAGTATAAAATTATGTCTTTGTAGGCAAGGCGGGTTTATATGTATTATTATACATACATGCATATTATATTATAGAAAAGCCGAGTACTTCAAAGATTTGTAATGTGAAGTCGTAAAAAAACATGTCTTTGTGCGCTTACATTGCAAACGCTGGCTCAACCTTACGAGGTAGATTAAAATAACTGTACTACGGAATTGTATATCTTAAAAAGATCTACAAAAAAGTTCCCCAATGATATATGCCTATCTCCTAAGGATAACATACAGTAGCCATTTTTATCTTTTACATATTACAAAAAAAATCGGTTATTTACGAAGCTCTTTTGAACAATTGAGTATTATTCTTTATCGGAATTAATACGTTAGATACGTTGTGCATTTAATGTAGATCAAAATTGCCGGCCTTGCGGAGCGAGCCTATAAATATTCCATAGTATTGAGATGTCCTGTAGTATACTCTTAGTCTTATCATAATATTAGTGTAATTATATATATCGTTATGATCGTAGAATAATGTCGGTTTTGAAAAAAAGACGAAATTCAGTTTTTACCATATTTGGATACTACATTGTCTAAATATTATTACTACATTCAAGACAAAATTATATGTATTTCGGATTTTAAATTATTCAATGTTTGTTTTGATAGGTGCTCAAAGTAAAATAAAGCATGTGATTTTTCTAGAAAATTGTGTAATTATTAGTTGTTATTTTTATTGCATTTTAAAACAAGCCCTATTTTACACTGGTATGCCAATTTTCATAATTACAGATTTTGAATTAAAAAAGTTATGTTAAAAAAACTAACATAATTATTTGAAATGGCTGCTCTATAAAGTTTAATAAATGTCAGATCCGACACTATTGTACGACTATGAAGATATATACTGGTAATACTATAAATAATAGTATTTTAATTGCACCTGTGCGGAGCTGGGGCGGATAGCTAGATATATATGAAATAAAAATGTGTTTATTGTCCAGTATTCTTTACAATAATGTAGAATGTAAGCTAAAGCTTGGACAAGTATGTATGTATATATGTATTTGTATGTAATTTCATTCCTTTTGATTCAGTAGCTATGTTAGCTTAATTTTTGAGGTCTTTAGTGTTTTAAAAACGAACAATTAATCTTTAAAAGCTGAAGTTGATAAAAACTTTATTTACCAATCAAGCTTATAAATGTTACCGAAACCTGCTCATTCGTCGTTCAATGTTTTCATTGTATCAGTATGGTCTACATACGTTGATTTGTACATATTGTCGTCTAGAGCAGTATTGAAAAAGTTCAGGTTAGATCTCTGTTGCCACAAATGTTTCCGTATGAGTCGTTCGAAAAAAGTATGAAGTGACATCGTTTACCTCCAATAGGGAGGTTGAAAGTAATTCAGTCAGAAAAATTAAATTAAATAACTTCAGTAATAATGTCACCAAATATACAAGTGTGTAGTATTTGTGTCCTGTGTACTATGGTAACCGGATTACTAATTTACGTATATTTCTAATTACTTATTAAAGGTTTAATTATACCCAGATACAGATAAAATTATCGTTCTCATTACACAGTATTGGGTAGAAATCGAAATGAGCAACCTATGGCTCAGAAGTTAGAATTATTAACTACTAGACCAACAAGGCCCCAATTCTGCCATTTTGATATTGTATCAATGGTCAATCTTAAGGTGTCAATTTGAAAACAGTCGATTGAATTTCGTCGGAATAGTTGAATAGACCATATTTGAATAGACAATATTAGAATAGACCAATGGCGACGACTTACCACTGAACTGCCACTGATACAAATGTCATCGATGTCTTTGTAATGTTTGGTAAACGGTACATTTTAAATTTATAATGAAATGATATATTTAATTTTCCAGATATGGCAATGTTGTTAATATCGCCATTAATGAGCCATTGCCACTTCATCAACAGTATTTTGACACTGTGAATTTATGTTAGTGTAATACCGATTTTTGACTGATGTCAATGGCATCTCAATAGCGTGTTACTAGAGTGACAGTGGCTTGTACGTTAACATAAAACAGCAGAATGTCCAAAATAGTCACATAATATATCAAAGGATGAACATTATTTTTAATATTAAATAGTTTGCTAAAATTAGCCAACTGTTTCGCGTTTACATCAGTCCTTACATCCGCTATGATACACTCATAACTAAATTATCAAGCGTCAATTTGGGATGTCTGAGTAATTTTGAGCACGTATGGAAATCAATGTTTCTTTGTTTATATTTAATGCGCTGGTATACCGTTTATCAGACCATCATGAAATTTTGCACACACTTTGCCAAAGCAGCAAAGCACAAGTACCTTTCATCCAGAAGAAAATGCTCTCGAGAGATAATAAAATACATTTACACTAGTGAAAATCGCCAAAACTAGTTTGCTTCATTATAATGTGTAGAAACGGTATTATTTGATGTCATTCAGTATAGTTATATGCGAATTCACGCAATCAATTGGTATCACCAACACTGTAACAGTCCACTGCTGGACATAGGCCTCTCCTTAGAAAGGAATTGGCTGATGTTTCTACAAATTTGTACTGGATGTAGTTACATGCAGACTGGCTTAATCGTGCACGTGCATAACTTGAAACCATCTTCCCGATTCAAAGTTGATTAAACAGTATTTAAATAGTTTAATATAATTGACCGGTAGCTCGATTTCCCTCAACAGGGCTGAAAGTCTTTGTAAGGCAATGAACGTTCAAAGACCTTCAAGCAACAGCTGTTTCATTAAAATATTGGCAACTCTACGTCAACGACTTCCACAAAAGACGGTGCTTTTCCTACAAGTAGTTGCAATACTCACGTGAGATTGTAAGTAGGAAAAGCAATTTGACTAACAATTGGCCGCAGCGGTAGGTACTTTCGGCTTGTGTATCTCAGGCAGACTATATAATTTGTATGCTTGGTCTAATTTAGATGTTAATAAGTTCATTCATTCGTTCGGTTTACAGAAAGGAGAGGCCATGTTCAGCAGTGGACTGTTAAAAGATGGTGATCATCATGATTCGTTCGGTGTAATCGGTTATGATGAAAAACAAAAAAAAGAAACTGTCTTGGACAGGATAGACATAATTTCAGCGTTTATATTTATTGTTACTTTAAAAAAAAATTGTTAAAGGTTCGGAATTATGTTTGGTTTTCTTTAAAATCATCGCAATAACTACCTTGCTTTACATGTCGAAACGAAATTATTGAAACCTCTTTTGTACACGAGTATAACAAAAGAGGGGTTCGACAGACCAATAGTAATAATATTTCATCGAATGATGTATTTCGAGCACGTTGACATTTGCGATTGATTGTTTAGTGTTTCTTAGTTAGTTAAAGGTCAACTGACTTCTTGAATAACAGCAAGTCTGGCCTGGTTAAAACTGTCAAAGAACAAGGACAAATAACAATAAGATGTCTGTGTCCAAGTCTGTGGGCGGTAGGGCC